TTGTTAAATCACTTAGGAAATAAATTTTACTTGACATTTTAAAAAATAAAAAATTTAACAATTATGTTGGATTTTTTAAATTTTACATATACAATTCAAGAAATTTATTTTTAAATCAAAAAATTTTTTGTTTGAAGAAAGTAATAATGATATAATCTTGTGAAATTCAATAAATTATTCTATAACGACAGATTAAATTAGAGAACGGCGCTTTATATAATAGTTGCAAAACTATTGAAGAAATATGTTGAATTCTATTGGTTTAGATCCATGTAATATCCTTTTTGGGCTGAATAAAAAAAATACAGAGGCATTAGGCATTAGACATGTTTTATTATTTAATGTAAATTTGGTGAATCATATGCACCAATACACCAGAAAACAAGTTGATTTCATGTGGTGCAAATAAACAAATCACACGAATCGTTTCAAATAGAATTTTAAAGTTTTCGAGAAAATGTCTTTGCTTTTATAATGAAACACAATATTTAATTAATAAACATTATGCTAGATAAAATTGACAATGGTCACCAAATTATTGACAAAAAATGAAAGAGATAATTCTTATCAAAAACTTAATTTAGTCCGGGTGTCGAGTTGTAAATATGATCTCCTTGACATATTTATTTACGGGATAAATAATGTACACCGCAACGTATAAGGATTTAATATTATGACGCAACACAAAAATTCTCATTCAGATGCAACCATTGAAATGACTTTTATAAGATATTTTGGTTATTTTCTTGATAGTTTCTGTAAACTTGTGGCTATGATCACATTTTTATGTCGGATGATCGTTCTCATAACACTTGTATTGACTTTAGAATTAAATGAAATCAAAAAGTTGAAGAGTAAAATGATGAAGAGATGAGAATTTACAAAGATCCCAAATTCATTTGCAAAACTTCTCCTCACTTCGATTTCCATATTTTAGACTTTATTACCCTGGCAACCGTTTAAAAAACGAAAAATGTAAATGGCAGGAAAAAAAAATTTTTTTTTTGATCATCTTGTAATTAACTATTAAAGATGTCAATTATTTATTATTATTTCGACAGTTTCGATGGGTTTCGACTGGTTTCGACGGGTCTCGAAAGTTTCGACAGTTTCGATAACAACTTTGCGAATTTGACAGTGTATCACAATGTAGAATACAGAATATAAAAACGATTTTTTTTTTTTTGCTTTTTATTTTAAATTAGAACAAAGTTTCCAAAATAATATATTATTGATCGAGAGATTTTAAATTTGGAAGCATTGGTACTTGTTGAAGAATTAGAGAAAATTACTTTTTGAAGAAGAAGATGATGATGATGATAAAAGTTGGAACCGGGTTTATTTTTATATCCAATTTATTTAATTTTAAAAATCGGATCCGGAAATAACTTTTTTTTAAAGCTAATAAATTATATGATCTCGGCACTTTTAAATTATATTTTATAATATAATCTTTCAGATTTCCCAATTAAGAATTTACAGTATATATTAATGCTAGTCATAATATATGAATCGTTTAATCATTGTGCTGCATGAGAATCTGGTTCCAACCTCTAGATGATGATTTTTTCAAATGAAAGTTTAATGGATGAAATACTTTTTTTTTATCCTTTATAAATATATAAATAAATATATAAAAGAAAGTGATCCTTGCTATATACGATTTGCTCATCTCGTTAAACAAAAATAATAAATTCGAAAATTCAAAAATTCTATTTTAATATCAGAAGGTTTTGCCATCCGTTGAAACTTTTGCCACCCTTCGCAATTTTGCCTATAATAAAAATATTTGGCAAAACGTTTCGACGGGTTCGATTTCGATGCCTGTCGAAACCTCCGGGTTTTGCCCGGCAACCTTAATCTAGGATGAAATTTCATATAATTAATTGGTTGAATAATCAATCAATACAACAAACCTGCCTTTTCAAATTAAGTTAAAATATTCTTTTGTTGTATGGAGAGTACCATTATCATCTCGACGTAAATAAAATCCTTATTTGCAAATTCTTATTAAAATTATTTATCATAAACGACGTATCGTTATATGGGAGATTTGCTATTAAAATCACGTTACGAATATATGATTTGCTATGTTCGTAACTCGATTTTAATATTTTAATAGCAAATCTCCCATATAATCTAGAAATCAAGATCAGTACTCGAAAATTCTTTTGATTATTTATGAATTGATTAAGAAAAACACGTTCTTTTAAAGTACAGAGAATTTCAAATTGATAATGTATTATGAAATTGTTAATTAAAAGGTTTTTCAACTTTCCCATCGTTAACATCTACGGTCACAAAATTTTGCATCCGCGTAGGCAGACAATGTGAAAAGTACGTCGAAAATTTATTTCAAATGCAAAGGAGACTTACGCATCTTACTTTAAATTTTATATTCTAATAATCATTTATTAGACACCTTTAATACATCTTAAACACATTGAGATTAATTGAGTTTAATAATTGTCATTTTACAAGGAATATGTCATTCCTCGGACTTGAACACCTCACGCAACTTGAATCACTTTATTTCATAGCTTAACGGAAGAAGTTTTTCAATCCATAGTTAACAGTTTAACGCTAATGAGGATTAAGTCATTGAGCATTCTAGGCGAAGAAGTCTATGGAAGTGCCCTATTATTTCAAAAAAATTGGTCCGTATCTAGAATATTTGGAGATAGAAATCAAGAAGATTCTGCGAGGAAAGGTCTTTGAAAGCATCGCGAATCATTGTGATAAGATTGTATTCCTTAAAGTTGAGTTACTTAATTATAAGTACATCTCTCTATTTTATAAGATAATCACCAATAATAAGGATCAAATAAAGTACCTAACCTTTCGTAATTTGACTTACATGGATCATGTATTCATAAATGTAGTTTTTTTTGCTTTTGGCATTATTTTAAAGAAACACAAAAAAAAAGTGAAGGTTTATTAAATAGAATCGTGGGATATTTGGTTCGGTTTCATATCAAAAAATAAATCCCACTTTCATTTTATTCTGGGAAAGGAGACAGATAGTAGTAATTATTGTGATAGATTTTAACATTTTCTCCATAACGTTTTTATCGAACCAAGTTTAACTTTAAAATTTGCATCGAAAACATTAACTCATAAAATCGATCATTTTCAAGTTTGAGTATCCAAATTTATATCATGTTAAAATTTAAAAAAAAGTTTAAGATTACCGGTAAATAAATAATGGAAGTGAAACTTTCATGAGCGATGATATTACTAACTTTAAATCGCCATTATTTAATTATAAACTTTAATAAGAATTAAACTCGGGTTCATACGGCGGGCGTGAGTAAATATATTTATCTTCAAACATATAAAAGCTAAGCCTAGAAGAAATCTCTAAAGTTGTTACAAATTATGCTATGAACAGGAAGAAATTGTTAATGACAAATTTGATTTACGTTAATTAAGTAAAACTTCAGCCAAGTCTTTAAATAATAAATACTCGTTGGGACTCCATATATTAATTATTAAGAGACACACATCATAGACTGACGGGTCGAATTCTAAGTCCATCATCCTCCATTCCATAAATACTCCTAAAGAAACATGTGTGTTCAAATTATTTCAAGAAAAAATGACATTTGCGATATAAACTATCAAACGGAAACTAAATTATTATTTTTCTTCAAAGACCAGATTACTGTCGTGCCCTATAGATTAATATGCCTGTTTTGCAATCTAAAAAAGATATTAAACCGCTTATGTTCCAACTCGACTGAATTTCTTAATAAGTTTTACTTGTTTTAAAGTCGTTCGTTACTATCGTTCTTATTATATTGAAAGGTCTCTTCCTGTAAAGACAAATCTCTTCGGTTACAGAATTGCCAAAATATCTCTCAGATTTACTATCTTTTTTTTTTTATTTTTAGAGAAATGTTTTTCAGTTGCACGTGTCGCCCTACCAATTATTGCTTGAGGGGGTCGCAATAATTAGTTCCTCATCAATACATATCTAGGTTGCGCACGTGTCTTTGTTACTTCACACCTAATGATGCTGCGTATTACTGTACTTCTTTGTTCGTTTTTAATTTTTTTGTTATTTATAAAATTTATTTACTATTTGACGCTTTTAAAAATATTATTATTTATTTAAAAAATCCTTAATAAATTATTTATATTAAAATTGTTGATAGTATATTGATGAAAAAAAAAAATATGAATAAAATTTATTACTGTCACTGACGCCGTTGGTTACCTTAAAAGGAAAGCTTGTAATGATTCATCCGCGTATTTATAGGTAAAAAAAGGTACCGCAATATCCGATTATTAGTGTAACCTGTGTTAGACGCAAAATCTGCTGCGACTTAAGTGCTACCTCAACTACGTATCATTCATGATTGATTAATGTTATACGTGAAGAAAATCGTAAAGACGGAAGGATTGAGAACATGAAATAAAAAAAAAAAATTTTTCGTGAGAATTCTTTAAACATTTATTGACGAGTTTAAACCAGTTCTATTTATACAAGCACAAATTTGGTCTATTTATTTGTTCTACATAATCGTTAAATTCATTATTTCCTAATATTTTATTACTTCTTATCTAAATAATAATAATAATAATTCTCCATAAATCCATAAATAAATAAAAATAAAACATTTCACGTGATTTGATCACAGTCCGCAATAGCAGTATTAGTGATTTTATAAGAAATCAAAAATTAATACTCTATAATTTCAAGTAAAAATAATTAATAAAATAATTTTAATCATATATTTTTAATGATTGTATATTCATAAATAAAATTATAAAAATAACAATTTATTATATTAAATTTATTCGTTATACGAAATTTTCGTGAACTAAAATCGTTAAAATCACGATTAAGTTGATACTACTGCTGCAGTCTGCGGTAAACATTGTGATTTTTTTTTCTAACGCTAATGACGAATTTATTTAATTTTCATTATTTATATAATATTATTGTTAACAATTCCTTTTTATTTTCTAAGAAACAAATATATTTTTTTACGATCCTCAATCGTCATCCGAGCAGCACCAGAGTTTAAAAGCATTTTATAGGAATATTTTTTTTTTCTCGTATTTAGAATAATTGTTAATTATAAAAATAAGATAGCCTTCTTGCCAGGTTTCAGGACCAGAATTTTCTTATCTACCGAGGATAACAAATTAAATAAATCTAATTATAACTTCGCTTAATAAATCGCGTTTAAGCATCAGTATTGAAGAAATAAGATAATGAACAAATTCTTAAGAGTGACAGTGACATTTGCAAAGAAATTATCGATAGAAGTCTCAAAACACTTTGACGGGCAAGTATTAAAGTAATGTGTTAGTGTTTCGTATAGAATTTTAATCTAATTGAATGCGAAATGATTTAAAAGTTCCTCTTTAGTATCATCATAATTTTTGAACGAAGCTAGCTCGATTAAACATCTTCCGGAAGTATAAGGTAACGCTATTTTTATTTTTTTTCGTATAGGATTGCTTCAGCCGCAGTGATCGATCATCTTTATCTTTCCCGCAATTGTTCTTTTTTGTAGGTTCTTAAATCATTTCCGAAAATCAGGGGGGGAGGTGGTTGAAATACTGTACGTGTCAAGCCACCTAATTTAATCCAATATGTAAAATGATTATATATTAATTTATCTTATTACCACTTAGAATAATTAAAAATGAACCTTGTTCCTCTTTATTAAAGTAATAACCTTGTTTATAGTGCTTTCATTTTCATTTAACGTCCAGAATTTTCTCTCTATAATAAAATATTTATAAATATAAAAGTTATTATGAACAATTATACCTTTGATTAGCTAGTTCTATAAGATTTGAAGTTATCCATTTCTTATATCTTTTAAATTATCCTGACAATTAAAAAGTAGGTGACAATCATAAATAAATAATTTATATTTATGATAAATACAGTAATTTTTAATTAAATTACCTCGACATGTTCAAGTTCGAAGTGTGATGATCCATTATAAATTACTACAGTTCTATTGTGTCTTGATAAAAGAAAGTAATAAATAACATGATATCTATTACATTTCTTGAAAATTTTGGTTATCATCTCATTACTATACTTCTTCCTGATTACGTTGATTCTTTCTTTTCTATATATCATCATTCCGCTAATTTAATCATTTAAACAATCTAACGAGATAAATAGATACCGTAAAATTTTATAATTAGTTTAATTACTTGGATTGAACATACGTCATATCGTTTATTTTAATAGATTCAAATTTAAATATAATTTCTTCTGTAAATCCATTTAGTATTCTTTTCTTCTCCTCATCCAACTTTCCTTCTAAATTTCCTAAAAGAAATATCTATATTATTACTAGCGGATAATTACTTATTGCGTAAGTGTAAGTTGTTTCATTCTTACCCTTCAAAGTATTTAATTTTACGGAAATACCATTAAGTTGCTTATTATTATTCTCGTTTGAAACATGAAATATTCATTTAATAGGATTTCCTTCGTTGTTAACACTAGGTAAAAAAGATTGTAATGAATCATGATTATAGTTGCCTGGCAAAACTCTTGGGGTCATTTGCAAAACTATCGAAACTAAATTCAAAATTATATTAAAGTTTTATTAACAAATCCGTCGAAATATAGTGTTTCGAATTTTGCCATTTGCTAAAATGCGTTTTGCCAGGCAACTATAACATGATGCACAGTTAATTGCTGCAGCTGATTTTTTTTTTTTAAAAAAAAAAAAATCTAATTTCTTCGAAAAATCCATAGCCAACAAATAAATAACGAATTTTAAATCCAATATCTCATAAAATTTGACCATTAATACTAACGTATTACTAGTTTCTGACATAATAATTCTTTCTAAAACTATATGGACGATCAGGACGTACATGTAGATGGTAAATTGTGCAAATCTCCCAAGCATGATGTAATTTTAGGTGAAAAATTTCTATAGTCCTGTCTAGATAAAAGTAAGAAAATCCTCTTTCAAACATCAACAAAAATAAATAATCCATTAGTTATTATGTTTAAACAAAATAATGTGTAAATTAATATGGCAGACATGATTAGCCCGTGTTGAATTCTAACTTGATTGCATCGACATAATATTAACAACATGTATAATTTCATGCCTGACAAACATTTATATTTCCGATAAAAATAACAATAAAATTCGCTTCAAATATTACCTACATTTCATGCAATAACGGTTACATTCCATAGATTTCTTGCCTACGGGATTGTGCTTTTAATATATTCTGCCTTTTATTTTTTCGCTAATTAACGAAACTATACGTAATAAGAAATAGCTTCTTTATAACAGAGAATGGAATGTTTAAAAGAAACAATGAATTTTTAATAATTATAAAGTGTTACTAAAAAAGTGCTTCTACCGTAAAATTTATTATGGTGATACAAGACTAATTTTGTGGTTGTATAAAAAGGTAGAGATCTACAAAAACTGGTTTGAAATGTTTATACCGAAAACTTCTCACGAATAAAAAAACGATCAAGTACTCGCTATTAAGTTTTAGATTTATTATTATTTTTTTTTATTAAACCTTTCTAAAAACTTTACTTTCCAGATTTTATTTCTATATTATCTTTATTCCATCATGTGTCGTCGTTCTTTTAAACCCCGTTATCGTACAGCGAGATATTCCATACTTTTACACATATCGTTTACTCATAGCCAGTAAAAGCTTACAAATGTATAGGCTGTTGTACGCTTGAGGCTTCAATTTGTAAGTGCAAAAATATCTTTAAATTTGAAGATTTTGGAACTTGTCCTTAAGCAACTTCTTATAAAATTATGAAAATTTGAAAAATTTCAGAGAGCAAGTATTAAAATCACGTTAATTTGTGACTAAAATAACAAGAAACGCGTCTATTCTTGAACGATAAAATATTAAAAAGTAAATTTGATCCTTACAAATTTATTACCTACTTATAAAATTTTTCAAAATTCTTTTTATCTACTTATAAATTTTTTTTAATTTGATATTTTCAAATTTTTTTAATTACCCTTGATTTTATCATACGAAAAGTAGTCTCTCATAATTATGTAACCTTATTAGTTGTAATTATGATCACGTTGACAAAATTATGTCCTCTTAGAATGTTGCACATAATCGAAGTTCAAGTATATCAACTTACCCCGCTTTTCACAAGTCGTGAGAGAATGAAGCAATTTCTTCCGAAGTATCAATTTGAGACATATTCTGGGAGGACAATTCCCATATTCAAAACTAAATAAAGTATTATCTCTTAGAAATCGTATTAATGATGATGTAAATATGTCTCAAGAAGTCCATAAAGATCTGCTAAAAATAGAAGAAAATCTTTTATTTACAAAGCTTTAATTGTATGTACATTATATTTCAAAATCTAGCCATCCATTTTAATTTTTTTTATTTAATTATTCTTTTATGAAGTATTTTCTCATCCAGATTTCTTTTATATAGGCCAATGTTTTTAAAATTAATAATAGCTTCTGGAAAACATTACTGACTTCATTTTCAACATCATCATACTCTCCAAAGGAAAAAGAGAAGTGTAACAGATTTAATAAGCACTTCATTAATAATTCCTGAAATGACATATTTTATTCTTGATAATGAAGTACCTTTGCAAGCTGATGGTTCATTAGATATCTTTGAAGTTATAAATCTGCTGTACATACATTTGACAAGGATACTATTGATCCCCCTGCTCAAAACATCTACGAATAGACAATATACAAAAGTTCCTAGGGAAAGTGTCTATGATGCAGATGAACTGAGTACTATATGATTGGTTAGCAAAGGTACCGGCCAATAGCACTTTGAAAGATCAGTAATTATGGAAATTACCATTATTATGAATATTAAGTAAAGGGATAATCATGCTGTACTCGAATTTTTAGCAAAAGTTTTTCAATCAATTTTAAACAAGCATTTCTAAAGGTTCTTGGTTATGCTGAACATCTTTATCCATCCATCAGAGATTTGGGTTGTGCATTTTTCAATCAAGAATAATATTATCATAGAACCTTGCAAATAAATGCAAAACAGGAAACTAAATGTTATACATTTCTGGCATGATAAAATGTTCGAACGAGTTCAAAATCATTAGATATATGATATCAAATGATATTAGATCATAAGTGCTAGTTGCGAGATTCCCTTTGAACTAATTCTTGGTCGCAAACTTGGTTATTAGGTCTCAACTTTTCTTCCTATCAATGAAAAACTTTTATTACAAACTCAAAATATATCATTGAATCAAAAAATTACTTGATATGTTTATTAGAAATATGGTTATTTACTTATACTTCATCAAAGAAATATTATCATATCAATATCAAAGAATGGACAAATTTATTAAATATAGACATTAAAAAAGAATTTACATGTTAATAATTTATAAGCCAGAATTTTATTACAATAAATTAATATTTTACATTTGCCAATTTTTTTTGATTACAAGCCTATTACGTTCTTTTATAAAATTGTTAAAATGCTTTCTGAAATATTTCCCATTCCTCTGTCATAAATCATTCTAATTCATTTATATTTTGGCCACTATTTTCCTTAACGATCGATATTCCACTAATTTTCTATGGGTTTGGATCGTATTATTAAAAGACCAATCAATTACCATGAGGATAGGGTATTTTTTTTTAGAAATGATCGTTTGGAACTTCCAACGCCTCCCAAGCATTTTCTAAATCTTTAACATAAAACAAAGAATTTCTTACCATCTGAAAACAAAAAAAATACCTATTAACCAAAACCAATCCCAAGAAAAAAATACAGATTTCTTTTGGAATTCAGTTTCAATTATTATTTAAGTAATTTTAAGTAAGCATGGTTTTTATCACAACTTAATTTTATTATAGTCATGTGGGCATAATTTTTAATAATTAATTTTGATGATATTGTAGGATCCTTTTTTATTTGTTGAACTAATATTTTGGATGAAGGGCGACCACAATGTACAAGAACTTACTGTTATTTTTATCTGTTTCTTTGTCATTACGAAACATGACTGATAGTATACTAGATTCCAAGTATTTTCTGCTTATAAGTTGGCTGAACACTTTCCATAAATAAATTTGCTATAGGACATATTCATTACTTGTTTATCCAAATTCCATTGGCACCTGATTAAGCTTATCAGTATATGAGGTTGATTTCATGATGCTCACATATTGTAATGTAGTGACTGCTGAGGCATAAAACCCATCCTCATATTTTTACCAGCCTAGTTTAAAATCCTACCATCCTTCTCATCTGGTTCGCCCAATAATTGAAATCTTTAAAAATAAAAAAGATCGTGAATCTGTGGGTAATATTAAATATAATGAATGAGAAAATTAAGAAAAAATAAACAAAAGAGCATAAAATTATGATAACGACAATCCCTTATTCACGGTTAATTCATCTTGTAATTGAAAACCTAAAGAATCAACATATTGTAAGTGAGTAAGCAAGAAAGTGACGAACAAATTAAATTGATAAAAGGAATAAAAAAGTCAGTCATATAAAAGATGAAGACAACTTAGCAACAATAGACAAACATGACATGCCAAAATAACAACCAGTATGTAAATACTGACTAATAAGCAAACGCACCCGTCGAAACCCGTCGAAACCCCTTCGAAACCGAAATGTTTCGTTTGTCAAAATGGGATTAGGGTTTGTTCTTTTTATAATTTAATTTCGGAGTTTGATAAAAAGGGATTATTATTTTTAATGTAGTTAATTAAAGTATCCGGATAGTAATTATTCTATTTTTGGTTCTCTTTCAATCTAATTTCCAATAGTCCAATAGTTTAAATATTTAAGATTTTAAGATAATAAAATAAAATTTTACTTAATACAGTTTTTAAATATTCGATACTTCATTAATAAAACTTTTCTTTTATTATTTGTCTAAGCCAGGTCTGATAAATAATTTCAAATCAAGAAATCGAAGACTAAAATAATTTTTAAATTGATAAGGTTCAATTTTCGTTACAGTTCATGCGATCGATCCGGCAATCTAAATCATTTTCGTGGGAAAATCAACTGTAATAGTCAAGGTCTTGCACAAATTGTTTACAAACTTTAAATTTTGTCAAGAATTGTTTTTTTTTTATCGATGAACGAACATTTTATTAGAATTTTAGATCGGCAGAGAACAGGATTCAAGAATTTCTTTCTAAAGAGAAAGTCATAGTTCTAATTAGTAATACAGGAAAAAAATATGTAAAGCAAAAAAGTTGGAAACAAATAGTTGTTGAATTTATACACAAAAGGACTGATTTCTACTGTTTATTCAATTTATTTGATGTTTATTAAACTGTTTCGATCGAATAAATTTACGAAATTACTTCGATTTTATTCTAACAATTTCAGTTATTTAAAAAGAACTTTTCATGATATATTTAAGTCCCAATTGCTTAGTTTATTGAAATTCTACTTGCATTGCATTGTACCACTTTAACAATGTTCCGAGGAAAGTTGCTTGTGAAACTGTTTACAAATTTCTTATGGAATATCCATTATTACATCATAGAGTTCTATTAATTTCCAACCGGAATAGTAATATAAGATGAGGATAATGTATAATAATTATTTTCGTTAAGATTTCAACAGAAAAAATAGATTGATTATATGGTAACTATTGAATTTAATAATTTCATAGTGGAACTGATGAAGCAACAAAGATCGTATTATCATCAGAATTGGATCTCGAATCATTCGAGAGTAGACTATGATAAGATCTCAAATTGGTAATTAAAATAATATATATATATTTTTTCTCTTTCTCCTATTTATATTTTTTTTTTTGAAAAAAAAAGGAAGAAATTAATGAAAATTTATTGATTGTTTAGATCCATTTGTTTATCTAACGATAAATATTTAAAATATTTAAATAATCAATTCTAAAGTTTACAGTTATTAATGACTATATTTTTACCTTTGTTTTTGAAAAAATAAAAGATAAAAGAAAGCTTATGGATAGTTTAAATGATGATAACAAAAGCAATAAAAAAATAAAAATAATGGTAAATATTTACACTCCATTTTTAAATTTGATTATAACGAAAAATATTTATTACTACATGGTCTATGCGAGAATGAAGTATTCCGATTAATTCGTTTTTTCACGTTGTCCTGTTTTTCCAAAACTTGTAATGATCATGTATTGCTTCCTTAAGTTTTCCTCCCAAAGCATTTGAGGCTAGAAAGTCCCAAAAGAGACCACTACCTATAACAGAGGTGTGGGACTGCGAAATTCTAACTTTCAAGAAGCGCTTTTCAAAATGGGGAAAAAAGTTATCAGATCTAATCGATATATCGTTAATGCAAATATCTTGTTCGAAAGATAAAATGTTGGACAATTACGGTCGATAACGGTTGAATGATGATGTCGATGCCTATGGAAGGTTTTTCAGGGTAAAGTTCTGTGATACGTTTCGTTGCCGAACTCAACTTATCACCTCCAAATTCTTTTTCAATAACTATTACGGTAATACACTTCTCTTGAAGTAAATTCTACTTCAGTTACACCTTCAACCTTCCAAATATTTAGGATAAGATATGTGAAATATTTAAAAGGACATAACAAATATCGACACGTTCACAAATAATGACCGGAAAGTACTTGTGAAGTGTGTAACCTAAAATAAAAAAATATAAAATCCTATGCCATATTTCTACTAACGCGAGTAAATGAAGGATATGGCGAATTGAAATAGATGAACTTTGATAATTATGTGTTACCTGAAAGAAAGAAATTATTGAATAAGAAAGATAATTTAATAAAAGATAAAATCAAAAAAAATCAACAAATTATTAAAACACAAATAAGTATTTTGATCCTTTTTTTATTTTGAATAGTATTTTACCAAGTATTTTCATATTGATTTTCATCTAAAAACTAATATGAATTCTGACGTTATATCTGTTCATCCAATCTTGCAATAGGATTAAATCTATCTTGTTTCAGGAAATTATAATTTTGGCTCATTGCGACGAATTAAACTTTATATCGCTTTTAGCCATTTTCCTTATTAAAAAATTTTTTTTACAGCATAAGTAGATAAATCCGTGCGTGAAGGGTATTTTTAAAAAAAAATTAAAAACGATGATCCCTCCTAAATTAAAAATGGTTTTTTTTTATTGCGCCCAGAAAAAGTTGTGTTAATGTTTATACTTTTTATAGTTAGCCTCAAAGATTGTGAAACTCGTTATTTCGACTTTAACAATGCATTCTATAATTGGTTCGGGTACACTTACTTCGGTTTATGCTGAAATTAAAAAATTCGCCTTCGATTAACATCTTAAACGAAGTTTTATACATAATCAAGACTAGTTCACTTTCTGCAGATAAAATACATGGCTAAAAAACTATCAATGATGTAGAAAATTAGATTTTCGGATTGTTTTTAACGAATGTTCGAAATTTTACAGGGCTTCGGAACGGATAACGAGAATTTTTAATTTTCATTTGATATATTGTCATGAATGATAATTAAATAACCAACAGTTTTCCATAACAAAATGGGCATAAACATTTCATAAGAAGAAACATGACATGGGCAAGTTGACTATTATATATTAAAAGAGCACACTTAAACTAAGTACTGCAATATTATCAGTATAATCCTTTAACTGACATCAATATGAAGTAGTAAATGAATTTTGGCTTTTTTGTACGTTTATTCTTGTCAAGTGAATAATATCCTGAAAACTTTGATAATCCATTGGTGTTACAATTTTTTTCTAATTTTTTTTTGTATTATCTTCACTAGATGATCCTCCAAAGCATGTTATTAAATTTAATTTTGTGATCTGCCCCAACTTCAGATCCATATTGTCCAGAATTGAAATTTCAATTTCGGAAGTCCAACTTGAAATTTCAAACCCGAATTTAGCTATAATTAACCACGTGTATAAATTTTTATGATCAATTGTGGCGTTGATCTTTGACAATATTTGTGATGTCCCAAGTTGTCTATTGCATAATTTAAATTGGGGCAATAGCAAACTCAGGGCACTCTGTACCCAGTTTCCAATTTTCCTCAATTTTAAATTGGGGCAATAGTCAACTTGGGGCACCGTATATCTCAATTTCCACTTTGCCTCAGTTTTAAAATGGTACAATGGTCACTTAAGGCACCGCATATATACGCTTTTGTAAAATTTTTGAGGGAAATTGTGTTAATGAAAGGTATGCTAAATATAAAGTTGCTATGTAATACTGTTAAAAAAAATGGTTCTGGCTAAGGTGCTTGGCAAACCTGTGGTTTCGAATCGGTGTCAAAATCGTAACTATTTTGACGATTTCCATTTTTTTTTTATACAAAACAGAAATCTTGAACCAAATCGAAATCCGTCGGCATTGTTTAAATCATTTTAAAAGGGTTCAACTTTCGCCAAATAGGATTAGTGTTTTGCCCGCAATCTTATATCTGTCTTTATAACATCGTTCTTTGCTTCCATAGAGTGTCGGATTTAATGAAATGGTCATTGAAATTTCAAGGACAACATGCACATGTAGAATTTTTTGTACAAGTTATACACATTCATTTAATGGCAATAAATATTAGTGCGGCGTCACAATTTGTCGCATGCCTAAGAAACTTTACACACTTTTTATTAAATTAATCTATGACAATTAATATGTAATAAGATTAAAAATTAATATCTTATTACAAAAAGCATTTATAATAAAAATACTTCATAAATTATAAATCTAAGAATCTCCATTTCTTCCATGGTGAAATTATTCGTATCTAAAATGATACTTTCATAATAGGCTTGATCGCAATGTACCAGTATTGTAATTTATAACAAAAAAATCGCTATTGCCAAATTTAATGGTAAATTCCGATAATAACTTCTATATATTGCATTAGCTATTAACAACTCGACTAATCTTAAAATTATTTAAATCGTTTCCATCACTTAAAGAAAAAATAAATCTTTTGTTGTATTATACCAATAATAACTACGAATTACACCTTTACGAGGATAATAGTAATTCCAACGAGAGGATTATAACCACCAATTATCGTATCATACTCTTTAGTTTTTAATAAACATGCTCCCCGTACATTATACATACTAAGTATAATGTTGTACCATAGCTGTCTCTACTACTACGATGAATAAAGTTAAAGTTATATTTATTAACTTTTGAAATTCTTGTATTAGAATATTTTCTTTGAATCCAGTTAGGTGTCATTGTTATTTAAATTGATTGAAGAAAAGATTTCTTCAGCTGCAAATCATCTAAAATAAAAGGCTCAAGTAATTGAAATTTAGTTTTAAAGTGTGATGAAATTTTATGTTTATATGCATTAACTGCGAAAGAGGATTCAGATTACTATGGTGATTTTTTGAAATCTTCTTGTGTATTATGAACTTGTTTTTCAATGTAATTTTGTTTGTTTGGATGTTCTATAGGAAGTGGGTAAAATTGTTGCTGCTGATATTTATTTAATAGAGGCTTGTTGATCAAATTGTGGAAGTTCCGGTTCAACCGGAAATTGATCAAATCGTGGAAGTTCTGGGTTATTTAAAGCAACCGGTAATTTTGAAAGTTCAGTTGGTTCAACATTTTCTTTTAATAAATATATAGTTTTAATAATATATTATTTAGTATTTATAATTTAATATTAATAAAAAAAAAAATGTACATTTAGTGGTGTAACACTATTATTCCTTTTTTGGTTTGTTACAAGTTTGCCTACATAAAGAAAATGACTAGAGCTAAAGTTAGACTATACATAAATTTATACGAATTTTTTTTTTTTTTAGTGACATTTGTGATAAAACTAGCAAGAAAAAGTAATAAAGTAATTAAAATTGTATTTAACCAATAAAGGCGAAGGCCCTTTATATATAATTATAATACATCCATCCGACCACACATAAATTCACAGATTATTCAAATTATTTAATTAAAATCGAATCGTCAAGTAAATCTTGATTTATCTTCAATTAACAAGCAAAAATTAATTTCATCAACTACAGTTGATTGGCAATTTCCAATCAGCTCGGAACTGTTTTTAATTACAAAATTCTATTTCTAAAAATATGGCTTAAAGAAACCTTTGGCGACATAAATAACAGCAGTTAACCGCCCAATAGTAATCAAGTCTATCAACTTTACATAAATCAGGATTAAATGAGCTATACAATTTCAAAAGCAAACGTTTATTTATATTATAAGACAATCACCTAATGCATGTTAATTTCGAATTTGCAAAATTGGAGCTCAAATTACAAATATTATAAATCATTGCGTAATTATTTTGAGAAGATATTTGTTTATTATCATGCTAGTTTAATAGAATATTTATAAATATGTTTTGTAAATGTTGATATTCAATAATTAATAATAAACTACCTTTAAAATTATAAATATACCGATTTAATAAAAAATTTATTGTTCTCTGGTTTAATAATAATAAATAAAGGAATATAAATTAAGCGCTATTTACTTATATATTATTTATTAAGTCAAAGAACGCAATGACAAAAAAAAATTGAAATTTCGTAACAAAATTATTTTACCAAAAGGTTATTGAATTTAAAAGAAAATTAAATTTTGAGATCCTAAATTTCTATAATTTACTTAATGATTGCATTAAGTAATTTATCAATCTTACTATTAAGCTCATCATTCCTGCTATTATTTATAATATTAAAATCATTCATCTTAGTATTAAGATCATTAATCTTTTTATACAGATCATTAATAATGTTAATATTTTCTTCCTTAGCAACTTTATTATCGAGCTCAGTAATACTAATTTCATTTTCCTTTCCTTTCTTAACTACCTTACTATTAAGATCTTTAATGCTAATTTTTTCATTCTTTATTTCACTTTCAGAACTATCAACATCACCGGAACAATCATCTTCTTCATCCTCATATGTTAATTTTCTTTCAAACATTTTCTTTTCATAATCCTCATATAAGTTTC